AAAAAAAAAAAAAAAAAAAGTAAATAAAGAAAACAGAGAGTAAAGTGTAATCAATAAAAGAGAAGAAAAGGAATAAGTAAGATGCTGGAGAAAATTGGGTTGCCTGCGAAGCCGTCTCTGAGGGGGAATAGTTGGGTGGTTGATGCCTCCCATTGCCAAGGATGCTCCTCACAGTTCACTTTCATCAATCGCAAGGTAAGCGACCACACCAATACACTCCTGCAGCAGCTTGTCCTTGTTAATTATGGATCTTGATTATTAGTGTTTGGAGGTTATATATTTGATGTAATTATCGCCTGAATTTTATTTGATGTACCCATGTCATGAAACTGCTTCGGTTTTTATTTGGATCATCACCCGAAAGTTTAGATATGTCGTCTGAATTCTTGGTGGTTGTTTTTGGGGACACTTAGTTTTTTGTTTTGTTTTGTTTTCAGAGAAAGTTACAGGCTGTGCTTTTGGGTAGTGCTTGCGAACTCTTAAAAGATGTGTGTTTCTTTGTAGCCCGAAAAGTAGAGCGTCTCTCCTGTTTCAAGTTCAGACTCATTTTTAGTAGAGTTTCAAAACACTCCCAAAGTTTGCTGAAAAGTTTTTAGTGGTTCAGTTTCTTTTTGTTTGTTTTGTGTTATAATTTTCTTGCATTTTTTCCTTTACTTATTTTGAGATTTTATTCAGTTGAAAATATATTATATCTCGAGGTTTGTTGTTGCACCGCTTGATTTGATGTGTCGGAAAAATTATGTTCTGAAATTCAGATTATGCTATCCACACCTATGTGTTGTATGATGGGCGTAATTAAATTGCGCTGAGGGGATCAGCATGTTATTCTATGATATCAATTTTTGTAGCTTGTTCTTGCTGAATATAAAGGTCAGGAAGGTTTTTGCTCCAACAGTTTTGGCTTTTTCTCTCTTTAAGACGAGCCAATTAAGGACTTTTTTCTTCCGGGTGTCCCTTAGTCTCTTAATTTTTATGTGACAACTTGATGAATCATTCATATCTAGTCTTTGTAAGAGATTATCAGTTGCTACATTTTCAGGTCTGGTAGATTGTGTTTTTGTAATTAGTTCATAATTTCAGCTGCATCACAGACAAATATTGCTGTTTTGCATAGCGAACCAATTGCGCATCCAAACATGCCTGAGCCCTTGGCCTAAAAGATATCAGGAAATACTTTTCTCCCACTTTAGTTTACCATCATCACCTGCCAAAATCATATAGTCTAATGTAAACAATTGTTATGATATTTTGCCATTTTTTTATTGGTTGGCCTCTTCATATAGCCACTATTGTTGGGAGAGGTAACAGAATTTTGCATATGAGAATCATAACATATGAACAATTGCATTTTACTTGCTGCTATATGTTTTGCTTGCGAGGAACATTAACTACTGTGATGTTGAGTGGGTCGCTGTCACACATTGTAGGCTTTAATTCAATAAACAGTTCGGCATATTTGTAAAATAGAAGGAAAACGATGGAGATAAAATATTCGTTTGGTTTCACTTTTTACATTTTTTTTTTTGAAGAGCTTGAAATTGCAAATCAATTTGAACCATTTTTTTAGAGGTACATGTTTTTGTGAAAATTGTAAAAGGGATTTGAAATCCAAATTACATTCAAACAAGAAACATATAGCTGGATCTCAAATCCAAAGTAGTTGAAATCCATGGATGCCAATCGGTTTACAAAGAGCCTAATGTTTGCATGAAAGACATAATTCTGATTATCCATGATATGCTTTGTTAATTTTGGACGTTGATTGGATTTTGCAGCACCACTGTCGAAGGTGTGGGGGCATATTCTGTGGCAGCTGTACACAGCAACGGATGGTGTTGCGTGGACAAGGCGACTCACCCGTTCGTATCTGTGAACCCTGCAAAAGGCTCGAAGAGGCTGCACGATTCGAAATGCGATATGGTCATAAAAATAGAGCTGCAAAAGGTATTTTAAAAATGATTTTGTTTCCGAGTTGTAATTTATTTCTCATTCTACTAACTTCCTATTTTTCTTGTGTTGCAATCCGCTCACTACTATTCGTTCGTGTTTGTCTTCTCATTCTATAATTTGAATGAAAATCAAAATATTGATCTCAAGCGACCTATTTTATGTTTCCTGCATCCTGTTTCATGTGCCCTGGCCTCTATTTTCGTTCCTCGACGGAAAGCTTGTATTCTTGCAATGTTCAGTACAATATTTGGCACAAAAGACAAAGGAAGAACCATAAAANNNAAAAAAAAAAAAAAAAAGATATATATAAATATTTTGTTGAGTTGGTTGATGTACTGATTGATTAAGCTATTTATTTAAGATCATCTTGCTTTGCGCTTGAGTCAGTTTTCTTTTTCTTTTGCTTAGAAATGTGGCAGACATCGCTGGGCAACCTGTTCATTATTATTATCAGTATTGATATTGTTATTATTATCACCATACCATCATTTTCATTTTACCGAGAACTCATGCTGAGACTTGATGTGACATTTGTACATGTACAAATAAGTATGATGATTCATTTGATCTGTGTTTGATTACTCAGGGAACAATCATTGCCACTACATAAATCATTACATTTTGTAATTAGCGTTTTTAGCTCGAAATTGAAATAATTATACAAATTAATATTGTAACCCTACATATAAAATCACACAAACTTCTTCGCAAGCTTTCTATTCACAAGTATGCCTGCTGTTATGAAATTTAAATCTTCGCAAGCTGAACAGGAGTTGAAATTAATGGCAGTCTTGACGCTTGGTGTCCGTATTCACAGGTGGCTCCAGATATGGTTCAAAAAAAGACGAGGATATTCTTAGAGACATTCTTGGCAATGAGGCAAAATTTGAAAAGAAAGGCGAATCGTCATCTTCTTTCCCAAATCCGGTCGAAGTTGGAGATACAGTTAGAAACCCGTCTCTCGATCTGAACGAGATGGGCTCAATTGCTACCACCCCCGAAGACTTGCGTCAACAAGCCATGGCTGAAAAGAATAAATACAAAACATTGAAAGCTGAAGGAAAATCTGAAGAAGCCTTGCTTGCCTTCAAAAGAGGGAAAGAGCTAGAGAGGCAGGCTGCAGCCTTGGAAATATCTTTGAGAAAAAACCGTAAGAAAGCTACCGTAAATGATACACAGAAAATCAAAGAACATTCCAACCCATCCGTGGATAATAATAGGCTCACGGCCAAAAAGACTGGAGAAACAGATGATCTTTTTACCGAGCTCAAAGATTTAGGATGGTCAGACCAAGACCTCCGTGATGCTGAGAAAAAGCCAGCCACATTGTCTGTGGAGGGTGAGCTTTCGTCACTTATAAGGGAAGTCTCTCAAAAACCTATAAACGAGAAGGTAACTGTTAGTTCTGACAAGTCTCAGGTTATTGCTCATAAGAAAAGGGCCCTTGAGCTGAAACGTGCTGGGAATCTTGCTGAGGCTAAGGAAGAATTAAAGAGAGCGAAAATTCTTGAGAAGAAAATTGAGGAGGAAGAGCTTCTGGACGGAGCCAATGATTCTGATGATGAGCTCATGTCGTTAGTTAATAATATGGATGGAGATGAACACGATCATGATTTTTCTGCAGGAAATAAATCCAATCTCAATTTTAATTTCGGTCATTTTACTGGGATTGGCGATGATCTTGCAGTCGATGGTAATTTGGATGTGACTGATGAGGACATGTATGATCCTGAAATAAATTCTGCTTTGAAATCATTGGGTTGGGTGGAAGATAATACAGCCGATCCCAACAATTATGACCAGGAAGCATTTGCAACTGAAATTCAGTCATTAAAATTGGAAGCTGCGAATCAGAAAAGGGCTGGGAATAGTGCAGAGGCATTGACACTGTTAAAAAAGGCTAAATTACTCGAGAAGGAGGTTGAAAGTTCAAATACTCGTGGAATGGAAGAACCATTGTTTTCCAATGGTCCTATCGTTATCGATTCGGGCCTCAATTCGATTCCAAAGAGTAAAATGGCGATCCAAAAAGAACTTCTTGCTGTGAAAAGGAAGGCTTTAACTCTCAGAAGGGAAGGTAAATTAGATGAGTCAGCAAAAGAACTGGAAAAGGCTAAAGCTCTCGAGGATCAGCTTGAGGATATGAATAGATCTCCACCAATCATCCAGTCAAGTTTTGAGAATAGACCAAGTTACACTAACCAGTCACATAGTACTAGTCTTGATAATAATGAAGACGAAGAGGATGTCACAGATCAAGATTTGCACGACCCAGCTTATCTCTCTCTTCTGAAGAACTTGGGGTGGGACGATGAAGATAATGCCGATGTTCCTTCAACGGCCTCGAAAGAAAACAATAAACCCTCAAAGCATACGAGTAACTCTTCCATTAGTCAGCCAGCTGTGAATAATGAAGTCAGTGGCAATTCCAGAAAAAGTAAAAGTGAGATCCAGAGGGAATTATTAGCGCTGAAACGAAAAGCTCTTACCCTGAGACGACAAGGAGAGGCCGAGGAGGCTGATCAAGTTCTGAAAATGGCAAAATCATTGGAGGAAAAGCTTCATGAGTTTGAAGAACCAATACGGAGAGACGATAATTCACCGGAACACAACACAACAAATGCGCCACAAAACCCTGAATCTTCACTTCAAGTGGATTATTTAGAAAGGCAAGCAAGAGATAACGATCCAGTTGTTACAAGTCCGGATAAACCAAATTCAAGTGCCGAGAAACAAAATTCAAGTCCCACGCAACAAGAAATATTAGCTCTGAAGAAGAGAGCAATTACATTGAAGAGAGAAGGAAAACTTGAGGAGGCCAAAGAAGCCCTCCGCAAGGCGAAGCTCCTGGAGAAGGCCGTCAACTCTCCTGCTGACGAGGATCTTGGCCCAGTCCCAGGCCCAGTCCCAGTTCCAGTCCCAGTCCCAGTTCCAGTCGCAGTCCCAGTCCCAAACCCGAGTCCAAGCTTGTCCAGTCGGGAGCGGTTTAAGCTTCAGCAGGAGTCACTGAGTCACAAGCGTAATGCACTGAGGCTTAGAAGGGAAGGTAGAACGGCAGAGGCCGATTCAGAGTTTGAGGTTGCGAAAGCTATGGAGGCCCGTCTGCAGGAGGCCGAACCTTCTAATTCGTTTTCCAGTGGGGACGATGTTGCGGTTGAGGATTTTCTGGACCCTCAGCTTCTGTCGATGCTGCAGTCAATCGGGTTGGGTGATGGCTCTATGGCAGGGTCACCGGAACCTTCCGCCGAGGATGCTGATGTGGAGAAGAGGCAGTTGGCCGAAAGGATTAAGGCGGAGAAAGTTAAGGCGGTGAATTTGAAGCGTTTGGGAAAGCAGGCCGAAGCCTTGGACGCCCTCAGGCGGGCCAAACTTTATGAACGGAAATTGCAATTTTTGACTTCATAATCATGTCTTCTTTCATCTTTTTCCATTTCTTGACTTCATAATCATGTCTTCTTTCATCTTTTTCCATTTCTCTGTGTGTGTGTGCGTGTGTGTGTGTGTGTTTGTGTGTGTGTGTGTGGGCCGGTCCTGGGGATTTGAGCGCTTAGTACGAAAACTTATGTCAGAGCTTGTAGTGCTGCTTGAGCAATGTGTGGTGGTATACATATATGTGTATTTGAGGAGTAAACATTTGTGATTTCAGTTATTCCAGATTACTTCTTGTTTATTGTTCCTAGTGCCAAAAAAATAAATAAAAAAAAAAAAGAATTTTAGTTGTTTTAATTATCTTCTGGGGATGAATCATGTATTGTTTGGCATGTATACAATCAACTAATCAACAAGCCGTTTTTTATAACTAAGCGGGGTCGATTATATGGATCTCATGTTGTCATCATGCTCAATCAAAATACATATTCTTATTTAAATTGAAATATTTTAAATCATTTTTCATGGTCTCCTTTCAAGTTTTCTTAGGTTTGCACTTTTTTTTTTTTTTTTTTTTAATTTACATTCTTAATTCTAATGTTTATACCTTTCTCACCAGGGCCTCGAAATCTCGTACGAACATGCTTAACCATCTTAATTGTAATTTTCTTATTTTCTCCTCCATAAATATTTTTATTTCAAATTTTATCTAACCTAGTATTCTGATGTTGACAACTTTTATGCTGACCGCAAACCTAACACAACTCTCTTCCTTTACAATGCCTTGGAACATTCAACTATATGCTCTTAGAGAGATTATAGGAGCCATAGTATATGTTCGACATGTATACAATATACATAATTCTTATTGTTGTATTTTAACTTTTAAGTATGACTAGTGTGAGGCTTTGCATGAGATGAGATATTAAGACCCAAATGATGGTAATGAGAGACAACATTCGTACTAGGATAATCTCATGAAGTTGATGTCAGATCGTTTGTAGAGTGAGTGGCACATTGGGTTGACTCGACTCTGCCATGATTGCATGCGGTATTATGCCTTATTTGCAGCAGTCCACCCCAAAGGAATTTCCAAATTTCTTCTTTTGTAGAGTGAGTGGCACATCGGGTTGACTCGACTCTGCCATGATTGCATGCGGTATTATGCCTTATTTGCAGCAGTCCACCCCAAAGGAACTCCAAAATTTCTTCTTGAGAGTTGGGTTGCAAATATTCTGATTTATTTCTTTAATATTTTTACAACCTCATTAATTTATCAATATTTAGTCTCATAAAATAGGAGTAATGTTACTTGGCTTGGCGAGAGATTATGTGCAGCCCCGCACTACTGCTACAAAGATATGACCAGTGACATGTGAAATAGACTAAACAATGTTAATTGTGCATCAATCTTCTACGAGGCTCCTGGCGAAATGTTACTTTACTTGTTTTCAAATTTAGTTAATGAAAAAAAAAAAATAATGTAACTCGTCACAATAAAAACAGTGAAATTTAAAATAAAATTATAGTTAAATTATATATATATAATTTTAACAATATCTTAAGAATCGCAAAAGAAAATAAAGGGGGAAAATCCTCTTCATTCAAGAAAAAAAAAATGAAACAGCCAAAGCTCCAACTTTCCTTTACTGATATATATATAACTTAAATTTAGTGGAGTCCATAAGACTCAATTATAATAATATAGATTTTTGTTTGAGAGAATTAATTTTTATTGTATGTTAAATAAAACTAAACTAGTATGGTACCCGTGCGCAGCACGGCGGGGTCATTTCCTCAAATCTTTTTTTTTTTAAACTTTATTTTTATATTTTTTAATAAATTAATAATTTCATTATAATGGAAAAGATGATAGAGAAATACAAAATGTAAACAAAATCATATATTATTAAACACTTCTCCATACACAACATTATTGGTTTGATTTTCTTTCAAACCTTCTTCTCCACAAATTAAAATTTTCAAACCATTTCTGTGAGTAACACGGGAGACGGCGACATATAACTGGCCATGACTAAAAACTGGTTTCTTCAAGAATAAGCCAACATGAGATAATGATTGACCTTGACTCTTGTTTATAGTTATTGCGTACGAAACCATAATGGGGGACTGCCTTCTTTGAAATTTGAATGGTACTCTAACATCCGAAGGAATTATTGTCATCCGAGGTATCAAAACTTTATCACCTGCATGATCGCCAGTAAGAATTTTACACTCGAGAACATGATTGGAGAGTTTAGTCACAACCAATCGTGTACCATTGCAGAGTCCCATTGAGTGATCCATGTTCCGCAACAACATAACTGGAGTTCCGACCTTCAAATTCAACTCATGGTTCGGTGTTCCAGAACACTTGATAGTATTCAAGAACTCAGGAGTATGAAGTTGTGCCACAAAGTCGTTATTGGAGTCGAATTTACACGTACTATCTGAACTTAAATACGTGCATCCCTCAGTCAAATTCAACGACGACATGTATTCATTTATAGATTCTACGATCTCGAGTGTTGGCGCAAGTATAGCTCTGTCCTTCAAGTAACTTGGATCATCGGGTGCATTCTTGAACATCGGATACGTGCTTTCAACAATTTTTGCAATTGGTCGGATGGCTCTAGTAATAGATCATCTGGTATGTCTATCGGAGAACATCCATCATTTGTACCCCCCAATGTTCCATCTCCAATGCTCGCTATCCAATCAGCAAAAGCGGCTAGCTCGTTACGTTCATTTGAATTGCCAATGCTCTGAAGACGCATGTTCTTTGTAAGCCTAAGCATAGTACAGTCTCCCCAAATGCTAGAAGAGTTAATAGCAGCATTAACAATCTACTGACGACTCCCCTTTGGAACTACAAGACGGATTTGCCGAAAGTCTCCACCAAACACAACAGTCTTGCCTCCGAACGGTTTATGATGATTTGCCGGGTCGAGTGCTCCCATTACTGCCTTAAAAGATGTTTGGACAGCTTCAAAACAATGCTTATGCATCATTGGGGCCTCATCCCATATGATCAATGAAGAGCGAATAATCAACTCGGGAAGAGGGCTAGCCTGATTGATCTCACACGATGAATTTTCATGCACAAAAATAGGAATGCCAAATCGAGAATGTGCAGTTCGTCCGCCCGGCGACAGGAGAGATGCTATTCCACTTGATGCAACACAAAGCACAATTCGACCGTGCGATCTTAGCCGAGAAGCTAAAGTCCTCCACAAGTATGTCTTTCCAGTTCCACCATAACCATACACAAAAAATACGTCGCCCCTACCGGAATGAACAGATGTCATTATTTTGGAATAAACACCCCTCTGTTCATCGGTCATATGCATCAGCAATGCATCATGCTCAATAGCTAGAGCCTTACGGTCGTAGTTAAGTTCATCCAAAACCAGACGGTTCGTACTTGAATTAATACTGCCCATATCTGGAAAAGGCATAGTAGAATAGTCCCGAAGACTTGTCCCACACTGTCTCAATAATGTCTCAATCTCCGCAAGAGCTAGATTTTTTATATCTGCATCACTCAGCTTCAAATCTGAAATGATGATAAACGACATATTAGATTTCAATTTTTATGTTGAATAAAAAAAGGTTAATAATAATTAAAAACAATATTACTTTTCTACTTGATAAAAGCATAATATAAAACCTATTAAATCTCATACCTTCATTATCGAAAAGACGACGTTGCTTGTATAGTACGTCGTCAGATAGAAATTGCCAACACCGCTCCCAAATTTCATCAGGTTTGCCTAAGGATCCAGAAACCAATAAAGATGCGAACATGCGCCTAAGAGAATCAGCAGATGCCCACTGACTTGCTTCGGTAATTCCATCAATGTACTCTCGATCATCACCCAACAAACCTCGTGCATAGCAAGCATCGCGATAGGACATGTGTTGAACATCTTCTACCTTCATATAATCCTCGTGGCAAGTAGCACCACGAACAACATTGACCAAACACCTCAAATAATAATTATCACCAACATTGGGAGGAACATAGCTCAAACGACCTATACAACCTGGCCTTATTCGAGGAGTCCACACTCTTTCTGTTTTGTTCCAAACAAATTTTGTCGGTGCCTCAACATATGTCAGTTTCCTCGCCTCAGGATACATCTTGTTCGCTTCCATCCATGCCAAAAATTGGCTCTCATTGACTGTGGGATTATTAAGAACTGCATCGATAGGATCATCATCCTCAAAAACAATATTATGTTCACCTTTCAAATGGAAACTCAGACGTTGCACGGAAGGTTTTTTGTACTGCAGTTCAAAACCCAATAGCCTCCACGCCGCCTCGCAAGAAGACACATATCGACAGTCATAGAACATATTGATCTCGTCAACAGGTTTTTCTATCTCTCCATACGCAGTCGTCTGATAGAATGATGCGGTGACACGATCATGACCTTTATTGACGTACTTGAAAAGGTACTTTATGAATCGCGATTGATTGCACCACTCGACATTAATATGCACTCCATATTTCATCAACAATTTGCGATTGTGGGGCACGACATAACCGTTATGGACAACGACACCATTTTTTTCAATATGCCTTCCATTGTCTCGACGTTTATATCGTGGATAACCTTCATTGTCGACAGTGGTGAAATCGACAAACTTTTTAGGAAACCATTTACTACACTTGCCATCCACCATGCACGGAGTTGATTTTCTAGCCAAACCACAAGGTCCATGAATCATGTGCTCTTTTACTGCCTCATAATACAAAGGATCCGACGTCTCATCAGGTATCTCCACAGATATTATTTTATCAATGTCTGACGGATCTGGGAACTTATTTTCTTTGGCGAGAAATAGTAGTATATGAGCATGCGGCAATCCACGCTTCTGAAATTCAATGGTGTAGACAACTACAAAACAAAAAAGAAGATAAAACAATTAAAAGATATTTTAGAACTGGTGTTAGACACCACGATAGACATATATACAAAATTGTTTTTTTTCTTAAAATAATACCTGCTACAACTCTGCCGAAAATTTGCTTCTTACGAAAATCCCTGATCAATTCCTTTAATTTTTACTTGAAAACTCTGCAAATAATATCCGGGCGATCCCCAGGTCGCAATCTCTTTGGTTCCAAAAATCGAACAATCTCGGGCCATTTTGGATTGCACGTGAATGTTATAAACAAATCGGGATAACCTGCCCATCCGCAAATTGCCATTGCATCCTGATAGTTTTGAATCATGTTTCGAGGTCCCCCAGTGAATGAAGAAGGCAGGATAATTCTCTTTCCTCTAGAGCTTGGATCGACATCGCCCTGAAGAACTGCATCCGCCAATCTATTGTAAATATCACATCGGAGTCGACTCTGATTGAATCGTATGTACCGCAACCTCGATTATTCAACCATGGTATATGCATCAACGACAAATTGTTAAAACAATCTTCTAGATGAAAGAATAGTAGATGGTTCGTTTTTCCTATCATAGATCCGGTATGCAAAGTAATCCCGGACGCTCACTGTTTTGCGACCCTTTTCTTTTTCAACTTTCCGATTTGAAAACGGTATATCTTCTCTATAGCCATCCTCGCCATAGGGCAAAAGAAGAGGATATTGTAAAGCCAGATATGAAGCATTAAGCTCATTTATTCGCTGGAGTCGTTCGCTCTTGGTTTCAACCAATATATCTCGCTCACCCATAGCCTAATCGAAATCTCCAACGACCAATACAGCAACTTCAGAACTCGTCGGCAAGTTATAAAGTCTGGCATCATGAGATCTCCTTCCAATCAAACGAATCTTGACATTAGCTTCGCCATGTTCTTGAATTCTTTCTCTAGCCAAACGAAATGATTTCACAAGTTCGTTGTGCTCATCCAACATGGTCGTCAAACTAGAAATAATTTCACCGTTCGAATCGGTAGCACCGTCAGCATTTCTGAAAAATGAAAGGAATTCTGTAAGGCAATCCAATAATATAAAAAGAAAAATAATAAATACTCGAGTAAGGATATTGTTTGAATGTTGACTGACAACATTCATTTTGTTGGTTACTTTATTATCAGTGTCATATATATAGAGCTGAGCAAACTTAGGAGTTGACCCTTCAGAAGGAAGTAAACTACCCATGAGATGGTAGTTTTGTCCGTGCAAACTGAAGACTGGTGGTCCCGATCCTTTGTTGATATCTGTATTGATCTTGCCTCCCAGCGAAGTAAAGCCGAACATGCTGTTGTAGGATCTAATATTTTCTTGAAAGTGTTTGCTAGTGCGGCTATCTCCATGTAGCAATTCACTCAAATATTGTGGCGGATTAGGTAGAACAGGAAGTTCAATGATACCATTCACACAACAACCACCGTACTCGGTAACAGCTGACGTTCTCTCAGAAGACTTTCTCTCGGAATACCAAAACATTGCAACGCAGTACACGCATTCGGCGTTGGCGTCACCCATGTCCCAGTACTCTACGATTTTAATGATGAATAATATTATAATACTATATAATAAAATGAATTTATAAAATTTATCATAAAATCAAAATTAAAATGAA